ATATATATATATATATAACTAATAAATAAAAAACATGGCTTTACACAACAATAGATCTCATTTCAACGTTGCAAACCAAGCGAAACCTTTTCTTTACTCTCTTATCATTTTATCTCTTACCCTTGAACTTCTATATTCTCTTGTACCGAGACATTTCACTTTTACGGGAGCTAGCTAGTTATCTTATTCTTGAATTTTATTTTTTTTTTCATTTCTTAGTCTATTTGTCTTCTATTGTGGGCATGAATCTTAAAATTTTGGGCTCTTAATTTTCTTTGGATGCTATAGTTTTTTTTTCATCAATGGTACAACTTTTATAAGTTGTTTTGCTTTTTGGAAAATAATAAAATAATGATGTTCACTTCATGAAATAGTTAAAAAAAAATTATTTTTTGTGAAAGGTTAAGAGGATGACACATGTAAAAAAAAAAACTTTTAAAGCATCATTAGTTGATTTTGTTATTGCCACGGTAAAGTATTTGGGAGAATGGAAAGTGTCATTTGATTTGGATAAAAATATAATTCATTGCTCTTGTTGTAAATTTGAGACATTTGGCATACTTTGTTGTCATTGTCTAAGAGTCTTTATTCATATGGATGTTAAATCAGTGCCTGAGCAATATATCCTGAAGAGGTGGACAAAGTTAGCAAGAAGTGTGTCTTTACCTAATGTTAGTGTTCGTCATGTAGTAGAAGATGCTCAATTGACTTCAACACAACGTCATAGAGACATTTTTCCCCGTCTTATGAGGATAGTTGATGAAGCATGTAGGAGTCAAGAAACATACACGTTGTTGAGCAAAAAGTTACTGATTTATTGGACAAGGAAATGTTAGAGTTTCAAAATAAACAAGTAAGTAATACTCAAGTTAATGAGTTCCTTAGCAATGTTATAGAGATTGCAAGAAACAATGATGATTCAATACAAGTAAAAGGGTTCAAGAAAAAAGAAGGTAGAAAAGGTTCAAAGCGTTTGAAAGGATCGGTAGAACGCCAACTTAGTAAACGGAAGAAAAAGGGTGACTCAAGTGCTTCACAAGATCAAGAGCTTACTAAGGTATTATAAAATTATGAATTTTACCATGCATTAGCTTACTCAAATACATAAACTCTCCTTTTTTGTATGCAAAATAATGAGAGTAAACAAGGTTCAAAATTTGTGAAGGAGAGGATAGAGTACAATTTAGAAGTGCCTAATATAAGTGCATCCACATGGCTTAATGATGTATACAAACAACAACAATCTATGGTAAGCTAATAGAAATTTAACTATGAGCAAACGAAAAAAATATTTGATGATTAATTGATATTGTCTTTTGTGTAGGAAATCAATGGCATTTCAAGTCAAGTTAGTGTTACTAGTTTTACTAGTTTATTGATGGTAAGTTTCAATAATTTAGATGGGATATCACAAACATTTTAACAACTTGCAGATTTTACTGGTTTCATATATATATATTTAAAATATTAACTTGTGTCTTTTAAATTATAGGCACCACTTTATGGGGATATCACAACTTTGACCAATCCATAGAGATGTAAATTAAAAGTTACAACAACTAGCTACTTGCAATGCTTTTTGACCATTTTGTGATGATATTCAAAGCTATTCGCAATTCTATTTTGTCCCTAATTATGCAGTTCAATTTATGCATTTTTGTTATTGCACACTTTCTGTAATTTTGTTATTGCACACTCTTTGCAATTATGATCTGTCACTTATTATGCAATTCTATTTACAAATCAGATTAGACAACAACCATTAACAAGTAATTTGTAGTTGTACACAAAACAAATGCAATCGGCAACCAATTCAGCTTAAAATTGTTACATAAAAGGAATTGAATTTCAAATAAATTGGAGCAGTGCAATATCATTTTTAATTGAAACTAATGTCTATTACAACATTGCAATTACATTTTTCATCCTCTTTGAACTACAAAGACTCAATGCAAAATCAAAGAACTTGGGAATTTCCTAATAATTGCCATAGGTGCTAATGGTTTGTGCTAGCTTTGCCTAAACTAAATCAAGGGATAGAAAACATGCGAGGATCATCATCATTGACCGAAAAGCTTTGGCCCAAGTTTAGCAAAGATCAACATTGCGGCACAGTTACGGACTAGGCAGCCAGGCAACCAGGAAGAAATGCAGTTATGGACTAGGCAGCCAGGCAACCAGGAAGAAATGCAGTCATAGGCAACAACGCCAACGCCAATAGCACCTACCAACTAAACACGCAAACCCTTTTCACTTCCTTAACTTCCAATGTTTCCTCCACTGAATTCTTGAACGCCACCATGGGAGCATCTGCCTTCGACACCGTGCGTGGGTTGTTCATGTGCAGGGGCGACGTGTCCTCGGGTCGTGCCAGCAGTGCGTGGTGAACGTCACGCGACGTCTCCTCTTCGAATGCGCTCTGGCGAGTGCATGATACGCTACTCCAACCAGTCCTTCTTCTCCACGGTGGACATGCGGCCATGCATTGGTCTCCTCAACAGCACCAACACC